GATGACCCTTGGGGTCTCTTCCAGCTCCAGGATTCTATGAGTCTATGAAATGTAACCTAACCATCATATCATTAACCCTTTCTTTACTTGGAGGAGAATCCATACCTCTCAACTGTGCTGCCCAGATAACGGGAGCAGTGGCTTCACTGGGGGTGAGCGGGGGGTGCGGACCACACTGGGTGACACCAATTGGGCCTGAGAGGTGCGCATGCTCCATCTCTGGGCTTCCTCCTAGGGAAGAAAGCTTTGAGAATGGAGCAGCAGGAGCCCAAACCACACCAGCCCTCCTCTCCAACTTCTCTCCAGCTCCTATGGGGTCACAGCTGCACCCTTTCTCTGAAACGAGTTTCCTCAGCCACAGTTTGTGACTCCCCCAATGTGACGAAGGCTGCGTGCCAGTTGCTGTCCAGAGTGCCTGGGGGCAGGGGGTCAGTCTCTGGTGGATGCCCACATCCACTTTCCTGGGCATAGACTGAAGCAGAACTCGGCCAGAGAGGCCCCAATGCCAACGGACAGCTGTATGAGGCGGGGGAAGCAGGAGGGACAGTCCACCTTGGTCACCCGTGGTCACCCTTGCCCACTGGGCATCTGGCACTGCCCTCTCCCTCAGAGGATCGCCAGGGCATGGAGGGTCAAGGGTATAGTGGAGGGGGGAGAGAAGGAGAAGAGGAGAGGTCAGGTCACCCTTCTGCCACATAGGGGCCACGGCCTCCCTTTTGGAGAGTGCATCGGGGGGGGGGGGGGTCTCCCAGCCCCATGCAAAGAAATCTCCACCAAGTGGCAGAGGTTTAACCCCTATCCACTCTGGGCTCCGGTGGCATCTGCTTTGCCAAAGTGAGAGCAGAATGAAGCCCCCATAGAGAGCAACGGAGAGCCCAGAGAGGGGAGAAAGCGCAAAGGATGGAGCATGCCCTTCCTGCACCAGGTGAACCCATAGTTAGAGATGCCATGGAATGAGAGAGCCATTATCCCTCCAGACCTGGCTAGGGAGTGGATGGGAGCTACGTTCCAACAAAGTCTGTAGGGCTGGGATTTTCTCTACATCTAGTTTGCTTTTTTTTTTTTTATGACAGCCTATTGATTTCTAGGACATCCAGGAATGACCACCTTGCACCAATATTAAAACCACTCCGCTGGCTGCCTGTCAGTTTCCAGGATTACTTTAAAGCCCTACACAGATTGGGTCCAGGTTACCTTCAGGATTTCCTCCTCCCATATAATCCACCCCATACGCTCAGGTCCTCTGATGGACATTGTCTCCGGTCAGCCAGGACTAGGTTGGCAATGGTCAGCCAGAGGACGTTTTCTTTAGCTGCCCCAAAATTGTGGGATGACCTGCCAGAAGAGATTTGACAGCTGAATATGCTACCTGGATTTCCAAAGCATTGAAGGCCATTCTCTTCCAGCAGGCTTCTCCAGATGAGTTTTAAATTGTGAATTTTAAATGTGGATTGTTTTAAGATGTGCATATGTTATTTGTCATTTTAAACTCATATGTATTTTAGTTGATGTATTTTAATTGATAGTGTTTGTCCATTCATTGCTCTTGTTCCCTGCCTCGATCCATGGGGAGAGGCTGGTAAGAAATTATTATTATTATTATTATTATTATTATTATTATTATTATTATTTACAGACCTTAAAAAAAGTGCACAAGACAGCTTCACAACTTTGCTTAAAAGTAAAAAGCTAAACATTGCCAAAAAGAAAACAATTTCAAACCAGGTGAAAAGCAAAGTTAAAAAGAGATAATTCGACAGAAGCTTTAAAAACTATTGTGTCAAAGAAGGAATTAAAGACGCCACTAATGAACCCAGGAGGCTAATGGTGGCCCATTCCAGGCCATGAAGGTCTACTCTTAATGTTCAGCAAAGCAAGGGCGGCTATGAAAGAATGAGAAAAGATCCTAAAATGCAAAGACATACAACTCAGCCCAAAAGTCAGAATCAGAGAAGCCACTGTATTCCCTATTATTCCCATGGATGGATGTGAGAGCTGGACAGTCAAGAAAGAGGATAGGAGGAAAGCCAATACATTTGGGAGAAAGTGTTTCTGGAGAAGAGAGCTGAGGAGGATCCCATGGAGGACAGCCAAAAGGACCAACAAAGAGGTCCTAGAGCAGATGAAGCCGGAAACTTCCCTGGAAGAAGAAGCCAAGATGACCAAAGTGAGGCTGTTGTACTTTGGACACATCATGAGAAGGCATGAATCATTGGAAAAGACAATAATACTGGGGAAGATGGAGGGAAGTATAAAGAGAGGAGGGAGGCCAGATGCCAAATGGATGGACTTTATTAAAGAGACCATGAATATGAGTTTGTAGGAAGGATCTGGGCAGAGCAGGAGAGGACAGCAGAAGGGGCCTGGAGAGGTCTCACCCAGAGGGTCACTGCCATGGGTCGAGATTTAAGCGAAGGCAGGTAACAAGAACAAAATGTCTCTCCAGAATCTCAGGCAGAGAGAAAAAGAAAAAAAGAGGGAAGGAGTGAAAGAGGAGGGGGGGAATCTTTTCTATCACCTGCTACTTTATTTTTCTTTGCCAATAAAAATAAAAATAAAAAAAATGGAGATGGCACCAGAGATTGCACCTAAGTCCTGTTATACACACTGAGCCAAGAGCTTTGCTTTTAAAGATGAGTAGCAGAGAAAAATTCAGAGAGAAATGTTTTTCAGCGCAGGAGGCTGCATTAGAGGGCTAAAGGCTGACTGGCAGAATTCAGAATTCTCTTTCTCTCTCTCTCCTTTATCTTTCAGGATTCAATTTAGTTCTCTCTCTCTCTGATCTCTGCTTTATCTTGCCTCTCTGTTTTGTCTCACCTCCAATCCTTGAAAGGCTGTCATCCCAGGGAAGATGGAGTGAGCCTCTTTTCTGCCTTGCCAGAGTGGACAAGACTTGAACCAATGGATTCCAGGCAGAACAAAGCAGGTTCGGATCAGGAAGAATATCCGGATGGGAATTGCTACTCCACAATGGCACAGATTCCCTCCGAAGGGGATGGATTCTCTTCCCTTGGACGTTTTTAAACAGAGGTTGCATGCCCACCTTTCAAGGGATGGGTTTCCTGCACTGGAAGAGGGGTGGACTAGATTGACTTTGGGTATCCCTCCAACTCTGCAATTCGACGATTCTTTGCTTTTGTTATGACCATTGGAGGGTTGGGAACGGGGAGCAAAATGATTTGTTTTCTTCTTCTTTTTCTTTTCTTAAATAACTTTATTTATTTCCACTAAAATCGCATCACATCACATACCACATATACAACATATAACGCATAAAACAACGACAACAACAAAATTATAAGTCCAAGATACATAGCTCATATCCACCATTCCTTCCAACCAATTCTTTCCCTCTTTGTGATTATCTTCCTCTTTGCTACTTTACTATTTGGATTTCCTTTAGTCTCTCATACTTTCCTTTCCTTTAGTCTCTAATAATACCTCCCCTCTTTATACCGTCTTTCTAATGATAAATCTCTGTTTTCTTTACCATCTCTACCTTTTGTTTAAACTTTCTCTCTTTCCTTTTTTACCCCTATTATTTACTCTACTATTAACTTGTTTTCCCCTCCAATATTTTACTACCAAATCCCATTATGTCATAATGTCTGCCATTGTGTCATCTTCCTCTTTTATTCTTCTTGAAATCCTATCTTAAGTCCCTCATTTCTTTAGCCAGTCTTCTGTTGTAGGTATTTGACAAGACATTTGTCTGACATTTGACAAAATGATGTGTTTTCTGTGTGCTACGGGGGAAGCAATAAAATGTGTGGGTCTGAATGGCCTAAATCCTATTATTAGCTCCAAATCAAGGGGATTTACCTATATGTTGACTTGCCATTGTGCAACTGAATGCATGGGTCTCCTTTAGTTGGGAGGAACTTACAAGGGACAAGCCTTCTGCATTTCGCACTCGCTGCAGCTTCTGAGTCTTCTTAGAATCATAAAATCATAGAATTATAGAGTTGGAAGAGACCACAAGTTAATATTCAGGGAGAATAGAGTCCTCCGTCCATTCTTGCAGGCTCAGGATCATAGAATCATAGAATCATAGAGTTGGAAGAGACCACAAGGGCTATCCAGTCCAACCCCATTCTGCCATGCAGGAACTCCCAATCAAAGTATCCCTTCAAAAGATGGCCATCCAGCCTCTGTTGAAGACCTCCAAGGAAGGAGACTCCACTACTCTCCAACGGAGAAATGTGTTCCACTGTTGAACCGCCCACTGGGCTAGGATTCTGGAGACCAGGGTTCAAATCCCTAGCCCAAACCATTGGGATCCGCGTCCCTTGCTTATTCATGGGAGGTGAACAGAGGGGGACAAAATGGGGCATGCACCCACAGCACACCCCTGTGAGAGTGCACCTCCATTCAAGCCAATAGGGCTTGAATATACTGATTTTCTATTTTCGCAGGGTGGTGGTGTCCAGAATGGATCCCCTGCGAGAACAGAAGGAAGACTGTATTTCCTGCGGATCAGGGGTAGAATGGACTGCCTCAGGTGGCGGAGGGTTTCCCTTCCCTTGTTGTTGGTGTTGTGTGCCTTCAGGTTGTTACCAGCTTATGTCGACTGTAAGGCAAGCCTAGCCACAAGGCTGTGAGTTCGATCCCAGGCAGGGCTCCAAGGTTGACTCAGCCTTCCCTCCTTTCGTAGGTCAGTAAAGTGAGTCCCCAGTTTGTTGGGGGCAAATGGCTTACAGATTGTAAACTGCTTAGAGAGTGTTTAAGTTCACTGTGAAGCAGTATAGAAATGTAAAGTGCCAAGTGCTATTGCTATCTCCTTCCTTGGAGGTCTTTAAGCAGAGGCTGAATGGCCATCTGTCAAAGGGGATGCTTTGATTGGGAGTTCCTGCATGGCAGAATGGGGTCTCTTCCAACTCTAGGATTCTATGATTCTATGACGTTTTCTTGGAAAGTTTCTTCAGAGGGGGTTTGCCATTGCCATCCCCTGAGGCTGAGAGAGTGTCATTTGCCCAAGGTCATCACCCAGTGGGTTTTCATGGCCAAGCTGGGATTTGAACCCTGGTCTCCAGAATCCTAGCCCAAAGCTCTAACCACTAGGCCACATTGGCTCTTCTTACCTGGGTGTTTTAAAACAAAGATTGGATGGGCAGCTGTGACCTCCTTGGGCTCTCTTCTATTTCTGTGAGTTTGTGATTCCATATTTATTTCTGAGACTCCAGTGCGAAAATCTGCTTGAAACCTGCCTCTCCAACTCAGCCAACAACCATCTGGGCCTTTTCTCCCAAAGCTGTGGCAGCGTCTACCTGCAGCTTCTGCTCCTGCGACTGAAGGAGCATTGAAGAAGGAGGCCCTGGAAGCTCCAGAAGAGAGAGGAAAGAAGGGAAAGAGAGGAAAGAAGGACGCTTCTGGCACTTTGTCCCAGAACAGGAGTCTGGCTTGCTCCGTCTTTGTATGTGCGGTGGCGGCGGTGGCGGAGCAAGGGAGCAGGCCCACGACCCCAATTAAGGTAAAGTTATCAATGCTGCTTCCCTTTGGAGACGGGCATTCACAGCAATTTCAGCCACTAATGCGCAGCCTTGGCCGTGCTTCACCCGCCTCCCAATTGTCTCCATCAAATCCACCGTAATGAGCAAGGGAGGCTGCACCCTTGCCGTGCTCACCGTGGCTCTGGCAGAAGCAGGTGGATAGAATCATAGAATCATAGAGTTGGAAGAGACCCCAAGGGCCATC